AAATGATGCTTTGGTTGATATGATAGAGGAATTCGTTCCAGAGCACCTATATCTACACATCACAGGTTCTAATTTTGTATTTTCTTTTGTAGTTAATCTCTAATCAGAGCATATTCATGTGAATTTGTATATGATGCGATTTGCTTTAATTTAATATTTGTGTATGCGTCTTTTCTTCATAAGTTCGTACATGCTTATATATGTTATTTATAATCTATTTCATTGAATCAAGATGACAATCATTGTTGCTAGTGACTCCAATACACTTCATATTTTAATTGATTTTATGATAATCGACATGTTGTGATTTGCTTTATTGCTTTTTTTTTGTTAATTGGTGGTGGTAGGAGTAAATTAGTCTTATTTAGTCTTAGTTTATTGATTATGTTTATTATTATACTAGGCGTAACCTCGCGAGTTGCGCAAGTATGCATTTAAATGGTTAAAATAATTATGGGAAAAAATAGAAATATGTTGAAATTTACGTTTTTAGTCATGTTTTTGTCATTAACCGAATTATCAAATAACATAAAAATCCATCAACTTATATTTTGATACTATCTAATAATATAGTCCATATCTTATAAACTTTACTTTTACTTTTATAATATCCAATATATATTATAAGTTTTTGTATAACATTAATATAATCTATTATTCTTATGTCCAATAATATTTTTTGGATAAAATAAGAAATAAGTTGTTTTGAATGAGCTATTAATAAACAATATTGAACTAATAAAATTTGTATTACACTATTTATATTACACCAAAACATCCAAGGTTTCATATATGAACTTTTAAATATTAAACATTGAAATTAAGAATGAAATCATACAAAATATATCATTATACATAAATGATATAAAGATTTTTAAAATAAGTCAATTAGTAAATATGATTTTTAATTTTAATTACATATTTTCAAGGCGTACGTTTGACTTTATATTGGTGCGTCGAGAATCATCTTCCTTAATTTGTACCTAAAAAATTAAGGTGAATAGTAATATAAAATAGATATTACTAAGCATTAATACAAATAATTAAAAATGATATGCAGATCTCCTACCACCGGTTAAAGATAATAAACTTCTCTAGTGGTATCGATTCCTTTGTGAGATTGAACTAGCCATTCTATGTACATCTTGTTTTCTAATTACATAAATAAATATGAGTAACCAAGCATAAATATATTATCTTTATGTAAGAAAAATATTTTAGTTAACTAACACATGTTGAAATTTTTACAATCATTATTAAAATGCATTTAAAATATTAGATTTTAAATGAATTTTGGTTGAAGTGTTTTCACCTTTATTATAATATATATATATATATATATATATATATATATATATATATAGAGAGAGAGAGAGAGAGAGAGAGAAAGAGAGTGATGGAAAGTATAACATATGTATGGGTTCTAATTAATTATCTTTTTCAAACGGTACAATTATAAAACATAAAAAACATATTTAAAATATTTAATTAAATATCCTCGACATCAACCTATATAACATATGATCATTATATTAACGATTAAACCACAATATACAACGATTGTATTACAATAATCCAAAAATGAAGAAATATAAAAACAAATTAGTATAACAAACTTACAAATTAAAAGCTATAATATAATAGCATATCTTCAAAAATGGTCATAAGACATCAACTCAACACAAAAACCTTTAAGTTTGTTTTCTTATATGATTTGTATGCATGTCTTCCCAAAAGATTGGTCTTTTTATAGTACACTTTTTACTAAATGCTAATTAAACATAATATAAGTTCTAAAACTTTTGAGTGTTAAATCATAACTAAGAAAACTTTTGAGTTGCATTAGCGTAACACCG